TATATTTGAGTGGACATATATATATATATTTATAATTTCAGGATTGTATTCATTTCTTTGTATAAAACTCATTGTATTATTCATTATAGTTCTTACTCATTGTATAAAACTGTTTTGAGTTTCTGTAGCATTTTGTAATATTGACTATTCTTCCTTAAAACACTTTTTATCATTGTCTTGGTTTTCCAATCTCTCTAATGGTGTTCTCAGTTTCCTTGTTGGCTCCTTTTGAATTCCTTTAAATTGTAGGCATTTGTCGAGTTGTTCTTTTCTTCTTGTCCCCCTGCCTACTTTTCTAAGTATTCTTGCGTCTTTAATGATGCCTCCATGCTAATGACAGGCACACTGAAGCCACAGTGTGTAATGACCTAGTCTCTGGAGTTGCACAGTGCTATTACTTAACATCTTACTCAATTCATTACGAGCGAGTTCAGCCCATACTGAGGGGAGAGCAGTTGGGCTCCACCTTTTGAAGGGAAAGGAATGTCATAGTTTAAACCATCACACCTGCTAATAAGTAAACATATCTCAAAAAAAAAAAAAAAACACCAACCCATTTATTGTATTTATCTGTTTATGAGATTGGAAATGAAGTAAAACATTTCTGTTATACTTCTCTTTATTGTCAGCAGAGCAGCTTCTCTTTGTGCAAGGGTACCAATATAAATCCTAGGCAGCATATTGTAAAGAAAAGAATATGGGACTTGGGGTTCAACTATAGTTTTTCCACTTACCATCTAAGGGATCTCTAGCAAATTCTCTTTGAGGTGTGGTTTCTCATTTATAAGTTGGGGATGATGATTATGGCATCACAAGGTGAGTATAAACAAATGAGGCAAGAGTGTTTTGTAAACTGTAAACTAGCTTTTAGAAATGTTAGTTCTTACCCAGGTTCTGTATAGCTTGCATTTACATACCATTTAATATATGCTCAGCACAGTTCTAAACATTTACTGTTTATTAACTCATTTAGTCCATAACTCTATGAGGTAGGGACTGCACTTACCCTCATTTATAGAGAAAGAAATATTTATGAGGCTGGGGTCATTAAGAATTTTGCAAAGGTCAAGTGGCAAAGGCAGAATTTGAACCCAGGCAGAGTGGTTCTTGGGGCATAAGACTTTCTCTGGACAAGCATTTATTAATCTAGTAGTGTTTATTGAATATCTGTTGTGTATCAAACAATGTGAGGTACTGGAGAATTTTGTACTTGACATTGGAGTTTAAAGCTGACTTCATGTGCATTGATTGAAATTGTATTTAAGTTTAGATGAGGTTTAAGTTGTTAACATTTCTCTCGGTTTTTCAATTGTCTTTAGAGTTAAATGATACTCTTAATTTTAAAAAAGCATGAACGGTTTGCAGTTTGGATGATAACCATGCAACTTTTTTTTTTTTTTTTTTTAAAGTCTGGTGAATTAATCAGAGCTATTTTGGAATCAGAGGCTATCTTGTAAAGAAAAGATGTTTTAAGCAAATTCAATTGATTTTGGTTATCTTCCTACCATAGACCTCTTTTATATGGGATTTTAGCTCATTTCTTGCATGGAACTAAGGATGGCATCCAAAATACATTTCTGAAAGGATCTTCACTTCAGCCTCCGAACTCAAATCTGGGTAGACAGCCTACTGAAAGAAAGCAAATGGGTATGAATTCTCTGAGATTTATCATTTAGTTATCATCGAGTATGTTTTCTTCTATTCATTTTTATCTTTGGGGTAGTTTTTCCTGAACTTTTGAGTCATAGTTTATAATTCCACTTATATATAATATAGTTTTGGCCTGTGTTACTTATCCTCCAAAAAGCAAAATGCTTTTTGGAAAGAGAATCTTGAGGAGAGGAGAGTAGATAACTGGACAACATTCTTAGAAATAATTTCTATACAGAGGTATTGAAAAGCCCGATTTTCATATAAATTTGTACTTTTTGAAGCAGCTTAGTCCTTAGCATGCTGAATAAGTAGCTTTTTATCGTCATCATTTTTTTTCCCCTCTAAGACTTAAAAAAGGCAAGATTTCTGAATATAGATAGAGAAGTCACAGGTTTCTCTGTCCTTTGCATTTTCAGAATACTTTTTGTGGTAGAGTGGTAGGTTTCTGCAAATACGAAAATGTTAGAATAGCTCATATTTCTTTCGGAGTGCTTAGTCTTTCAGTGAGCTTTCAATTGTTTTGATTACATCAGCAACAGGACCTCAATCGGACACTCTGAACTAATGGTTCAGAGCAGGGGTCCCCAACCCCCAGGCGGCAGACCAATGCCAGACAGTGGCCTGTTAGGAACTGGGCC